TGTCTGCAAGTTATGAAAATCGATACATGGACTCTAGCAATCCCCATGGTGTTGAAACGAGCGCCTCAACGGCGTATTGTTGAAGCGAGATTACTGCCTCTACGTGTCAATCAAGAAATCCGACGAGGTTTATCTGGTGCTGTACGTGCACGATCTCTTTATTGTCGGAAGGAACTTGGAAATCATTCTTAAATTGAAACGACGACTGGCATTGGAATTTGAAATGTCCGACTGCGGTGAAGCTGAGCTTTTCTTGGGAATGAGACACAAAACTGACATCTGCCGCCGTATTCGCGGAAAATATTTATCCTAGCCACGAACACGCGTACAAAAATTATGAGTTGGTTCGTGTCTAATCTAATTCGGACAAATTATTTTTATCTAGATGAAACATTTCTATGGTTTTGGCAGATGGGATCGCTGCACATTTGAATCGGCCGTTATGAATTCTCGATCGAGAGTTAAGTTTAAGTTTCATGTCGGTTTGTCGGTGCTCAAACTATCCCAGACGGTCAACGTGAACAAAATATTGAGCCGGTTCCGGATGATGAGTACGATGCTTCGAATAGATGGAAAAGGCACTTCAACTGATATGCCTTCAAGTTACAGCACGTCTTGCATTTCCAATGTTGCTTATTTCAATCCTGAACATCACGGTCTGCAGTCCACCGATGACGGCTTCCTTTATAACACCGATTTTGAACATACTGCACCGAATCGTAGCTGCCACGTTTCTGAAACTGTCAGCCCAGAACGCATTGCCTACCGCCCCATGGAAGCCCCTAAGCCTCTCAACGCAGTCGTGCGTACTGATTCCTGCCATCGTAGTCGTTCTGGCCCTGTGGTTGAGAACGGTGAAGGGGTATGCGTTTATTGAAACCAATTCCTCGCCTGATCAGCCTCCACGTTTCAGCGCAACGTCTTCTTCACCACCGACTGAACCTTGCCTTTCCGATTGCCAACCTATGTTATCCGATGGACTTGTGGTGTATTATCAAAATGTTCGTGGCTTGCGAACTAAAATTGACGACTTATTCTTGATTGCTGTTGAGTCCAACTACGATGCAATAGTTCTTACCGAGACCTGGCTAGATGATCGAATTCACTCAGCACAATTATTTGGCAGTAGGTTCTCAGTTTTTCGTAATGACCGTAACCGGATGAACAGTGCCAAATCACGCGGTAGTGGCGTCTTGATTGCGGTTTCCAAACGACTGAACTGTTCCCTCGATCCTGCTCCGGTTAGTACTTCTCTTGAGCAGTTATGGGTGAAGATTACGACGTCACACAACATGATAAGCATCGGGCGTTATGTACCTTCCTCCTGACCGTAAATCTAATTTGAGCTGCGTTGAGAACCATATCAGTTCCATTGGTGCTGTATTGTCCCGATTGAATCACAACGATCTAGCTCAGCTATTTGGCGACTATAACCAGTCTGGGCTTGTTTGGAATATTTCCGCGAATGATCATCCAACCATTGACATTCTTCGGTCGTACATGCCTGCTTCCTGCTGTGCTCTTTTGGGTGGTTTTAGCCTGCATGGTTTAATGCAAATTAATTCTGTACCAAACAGAAAATCTCGGCTGCATGATCTTATGTTGGTGAATGAAGCCGCCGCACTAGAGTGCAGTGTCGCTGAGGCATCCGAGCCTCTGATACATCTAGACGCCGATCATCCAGCGTTGGAAGCATTCATCAATCGATCAGTTCCTGTTCTCTATGAAAACATCGTTGATGTACAAAGTCTGGACTTTCGTAGAACTGACTACGTCGCATTGAATCACTCATTGGCACAGGTAGATTGGGAGTCGCTTGACTTGTGTTCGTCCATTGATGAAGCCGTTAACTATTTCGACGAAGTTGTTAGCCGATTAATAATGGATGTGTGCCTCTGAGGAGACCTGCTCCAAAACCTGCATGGTCCAATGCTCGATTACAACACTTGAAGCGTGTGAGATCGAAGGCTCTTCGAAAATACAGCCAGTCCCGAAATCCATTCACCAAGCGATTATTTTCGTTAGCAAGTAATTGCTACCGAATGTACAACCGTTTTCTATACAAGAATTACTCAAGACGTATGCAGACCAATCTCCACCGTAATCCTAAGCTATTCTGGACGTTTGTGAAGACAAAAGGAAAGAGGATGGGCTACCGGTTGAGATTCATCTAAGCGATAAAAGAGCCAACGCTTCTTTAGAGAAATGTAACCTCCTGCCTGAGCATTTCAAGAGTGTTTTCAACGATTCAACGGCATCGTTAAGTCAAGTTGCTGAAGGGATGAGAGATACTCCCAGTGACGCGTTCAGCTTTGATATTTTCACGGTCACCTTGGACCTCGTCGACTCTGCCATCCAGAAGCTGAAATTCTGGAACGCTGCTGGGCCTGACGGCATTCCATCGTCCATACTCAAAAGATGCTCAACAGAGCTTTCCTCTCCGCTTTCAAAGCTGTTCAATATTTCGTTACAACAAGGTGTATTTACCTCTCGTTGGAAATCTTCGTTCATGTTCCCGATTTTCAAGAAAGGAGACAAACAAAATGTGGAGAATTACCGAGGAATTACTTCACTTTGTGCCTGCTCGAAAGTATTCGAGATAATCATCAACGACGCTTTATTTGCCAGCTGTAGAAACTACATTTCTCCTGACCAATATGGTTTCCACCCCAAACGTTCGGTCTCAACAAACCTCGCTCCTTTCATTTCCCTATACCTACGGAATATGGAGGCAGGGGCACAGATGGACGTCGTATATACGGATCTCAAGACTGCTTTCGACCGGGTTGATCATGCCATTCTAATTGCCAAACTCAAGAAGCTTGGTGTTTCTCATGGACTCACTCGTTGGTTTGAATCGTATCTTACCAATCGAGAGCTTTGTGTGAAAATCGGGTCAGATCAATCGGATTATTTCTCAAACAAGTCAGGCGTTCCTCAAGGCAGCAATTTGGGACCGCTGCTATTCTCCATATTCATTAACGAAATCGGTTTGATACTTCCAACTGGCTGCCGGTCATTCTATGCAGACGATGTCAAGATGTACGTGGTTGTGCGATGCTTCACTGACTTCCTGCGGTTGCAGCACCTGATCGATAGTTTCGAAGAGTGCTGCTCTAGGAATTTTCTCACGTTGAGTGTTCAAAAATGCAATATCATCACTTTCCATCGCAAGCTAAAACCTATTGCATTCAATTATACGATCGATAACCAACCTCTGCAGCGTGTGGACAACGTTCGTGATCTAGGAATTACACTTGATTCTGCTTTGACATTTAAGCTACATTACACAGATATCATAGTCAAAGCTGACAGGCAACTCGGATTCATCTTTAAGATCTCTAATGAGTTTCGGGATACTACCTGCCTGACAGCTCTATATTGTTCTCTAGTGCGATCGACCTTGGAATTTGGTGTAGTAGTATGGTGTCCGTATGAAACAGTTTGGATAGCGAGGATCGAGTCTGTTCAGAGGATAAATAAAACTGAACCATTAAGGAAAGAGGACTGCAGAGCCGTATCGGGTACTGTTTGGAAGCCTGTTAGGCCAAATCTGAGCTTCCCAATTAGTTACCTGGGAAGATTTCAACAAAACCCGACAACGGATAACCATTGGCAATCACTCAAACGTATCGTCCGGTACCTGAAGGACATCACTAGCATTGGACTGCTATTCCAGAAAACTGAATCATTGGAACTGCTTGTGGGATTTGTCGATTCAGACTGGGCATCGGATTTGGTTGACCGTAAGTCAATCATTGGCTACATTTTTAACTGAGTGGTGTTCAGGAGGACCTGAAGCAGAAGGAGAAGAGCGATCAAGCACCAATATTTGAAGATAACAGAGGTTGCATCAGGATGGCAAAGAATGCTGAATCGAAGCGGGTAAATCACATTGATGTCCGACATCATTTCATTAGAGATCACGTGGCAGCTGGAACCATTGAGATAAAGGCGATTTCCACAATTGACCAAGAAGCTGATTTATTCTCCAAAGCGTTAGACAAGAAGCGTTTCCAATATCTTCGAGCAAGAATTGACCTCATTGATTGAGAGGGGGTGTTGAGAAACGAAGCAATCATTCGATGAAGCCAGCTATTATAGTAGCCTATCACATGCACAGCCAGTCATCAACTATACAACTTGTAGAAGTTCTACGACATTATTTGAAATTCTACTAAGTTCACTGAGCTTCTACAAAGCTTGCCTGCAAAGTTTTCGAAAGTTCTACGATGTTTCTTGAAAATCTATGAATATTCTTGAAATCTACCACGTTCCCTTTACTTTGAAGAAGTTCAAGCTTCTACGAAGTTCTCTTAACTTTTACGAATTGCTCTTGACCCCCTAAGAAGGTCCCTGAATATCTGGGAATACTCAGTTTCATAAACCTGAAATATTGCGCTTCTTCGCCCACCTACATACAAATTTTAAAGGTAGCGGTTAAGACATGTGAACACATCTCGTCGATCTCGTTTAAGATCCTCGGGCTGAACAACTCCCCCTTCATGTCAGAGAAAACAGGATAATTTGTAGCGATGTCTCTGGCTCTTCTACATTACCCTTATGGAATGTGATGAGGGCATTGTTAATACCCAGGGGGAGGGAATATGATGCACCTTCATGCAGAAAATCAGCGCTCAAGGACATAATTTACCCCCCTCCCACCCTGAACGATAATAAGTAAAGAAATGTAAATCGCAACTCGAATGTGAACCGTGGACATTTCCAATGTAAACTACTCCGTAGTCACTGTAGTGGATATCTTAATGATTTCATAAACTAATGGGACACTACCGATTTGACAAGAGTGTCCCATTAGTTTATTGAATCATTAAGATATCCACAACAGTTACCCTCCACACCTTACAACGAATGTATGTTTGCATCCGGAAGTCGAAAATTGAAACCATAAATAAACCATTTGTGACGAGTTGAGCTAACCAACGAGCTAAAAATCTAGCAAATAAAGCTTTAAAAAAACACAATTTTCGACCACTTACCTTTTTCTTCTGCTTGAGCGTCGCACCCTGTTTGCGTTTCTCTTTGTCCGATCGCACGATTTCGTTGCACCGCGCCAGGATGGCCGAAGTGTCGAACTCGCTCAAATCTTTCGGCTTCTTCTTCGCCAGTTGCGCCGGCTTTTTGACGGGACTTTCTTCCGCTACTTCTTCGTACTCGTCAACATCCATCGGTTCAGCCGCATCCAGCGCCGTTCCGTTCTCTTCCGGGATGGCATCCTTCTTCTTCTGCTTCCTGTTCAAAGGGCTTTCGATCTCATTGTCGACCGTAAGCTTACCGGGCAGGGATGCCCGTTTGTCCTTCTTCAAGGCAGCTTCCGGAGGAGACGCTCCCAGCGAGAGGCGTTTGTTCTTTTTGGCCAGAGCCAAAGCGGCCGGATTGGAGACCAGATTGGTGGATTTCGCGGATTCCGACACCTTCTCGCTGTCCAGGACATTGATCGTGTTACGTTTGGTGGCTTTCTTCGCTGATGCGTAGAAATCGGCTGAAATGAGAGCAGGGGCCGGGAGAGATTTTCGGGACTTTGGAGTATCCACTTTGTCAGCTAAAGCGTCGTTCTCCATGGTTTTGGTGGAATGTTTCTCGGCACTGGTAGCCTGCTTTGTTTCAGCGTCCAGAGAATTCTTCGATGGAGTCTTCTTCTGAGTTTTTGGCGTTGCTGGCTCTTCTTGGAGTGCACCTATTGTAGGTGTTTTCTGATTCTGATCATCAGCAGGAGAATTTTTAGCGGGTGTCTTCTTCGGGGTTTTCGAATTTGCAGTTGCTTCCGGTGTACTCTTAGCCGGAGTCTTTTTCGGAGTTTGGGGTAGATCAGCTGAATATGAAGCATTCAAAGAGTTTTTAGCGGGAGTCTTCTTCGGAGTTTTCGAACTTGAAGTTGCTTCCGGTGTACCCTTTGCAGGAGTCTTATTGAGTGATTTGGACCTATCCAAGTCAGCCTTCTTGGGAGTCTTCTTAGGCGATTTACTCTCCGAAGCGTTGGTCTCATCCAAATTGATGACCGATTGCTCTTCATCGCTGGAATCTGCCTGATGGATGATTCGCTTGTGCTTTTTCTTGTCCTTGCTTTTGTTTTCCTCCTTTTCGGAGTCCAAATCGTCACCGCTACCATCCAGCAGGTCAAATTCTTCATCATCTGAAGCGATGAACGAGTCATTCTCCTCCTCTTCGTCGTCTATTTCGGAATCCTTACTGCCAAGGGACTCACCCTCATCCAGCTCGTTGGCATCCATTTCCGCCCGAGTTTCACTATCCAGTGAATCTCCCGACTCGTATCCCTTCACTTCCATTGCTTCATCATCTACAAAGCTGTTCCGCTTCGGAGCATCATCATCTTCCTCTTCCTCCTCCTCCTCCTCCTCCTCTTCGTCATCATCAACCTCAATCTTCTCCAGAATTTTCCTCTTCAGCGATTCGTTCAACTGCTTGGTTTGCTCTTCCTGTCGCTGTTCTTCCTCTTGTTTCCTCACGCTGAATACGTCGATACCCTTATCGTTGCTGGTCCCTTTCACGGCCTGGGTCCACGACTTTGAAGGTGGCGAGTCTGATGTTGCCTTTTCTTCATCTATCTCCAACACTTTCAAGATCGGCGTCGAAAACGTCCCCTCACGTAGATGGGAAAAGTGCGACTTTTGCTTCCCGGTAGGTTTCGGAGTGCCCAAGATTGACATCGACTGATCCACCTGGTTGATGTTCTCGCGTACATCTTCCACGATGCTGGCTAGCGACATGTCGATAGATTTGTCCAACGACTGGTCAACTTTTTTCGGCGTTCCGAACGTCGCTTTCGTGGGAGACGCAATCTTCGGCGTTGCAGCCTTCCGGTTAACTTTCTGTGGCGATTCCAGGACTGTTGCATCGATCACTTCGGGTGTCTGTGTGAAATAACAATGAGAAACAGATGTTAACTATTACTGTCGATATTTTAGAAATACTTCAAAAACTCACCGATAACAACATAGACTTATCAGCTTCCGCAGCACTCTTCTCACTTAGCTTGCGACGCTTCTCACCGGGAGGCACGATCGGTGTCTTAGGATATACGCTCTTATCCAGCTGCTTTGGTGTGCCTTCTTCGAACGTGACATCCTTCAGTTGCCTCTTCACGCTTCCGACCGGAGACACCAGCGTACTTTTCGAACCTTCACTTTTGGTGGGAGTCTTCTCAGCGCTATCGTCCGAAACGGACTGCACCTCTATCGCCGATTCACTGCCTTTGGGTTCTTGAGCTTCCTTTGCGGGGCTCGAAACCTTGGAAGCATCCGCCTCGCCTTCGTCTCCCTTGTTCGATGCCACCGAGGTATTCTTACCGGACGGTGAACTTCTCGGTACCGGCGAGTTGGAAATCGCTCTATTCCGCAGTTTACGAATGTCCAGATCGGAAAGCTCTGCCTCTGCAATCGCAGTACTACTGCTGTTGACTTTGTCTTCCTTTTCGTCATCCTCGGCGATTGTGGGCGGTGCAACGCTGAGTCGAGATTTGGATGCCTTCGGGGTGGTCGCCGGTATGTTTCCATCGTCGGAGGTGGCACTGTTTCGCCGAGTTATACGTCTTGTTGTCGGAGGAAGCGTCTGCGGTGTGAGTGTAGTGTCCTGGGAGGGGCGTCGTCGCGGCGTACGGCGAATTTCACCAATGTTTTCCAATAAGCTAACGTTATCTTCAGTTAGTGAGGCCGCACGAGTACGATGTGGCGGCTTAACCTCGTGTTCCTTAACCTTCTGCAGCGATTTGTTGCCGATGAAGGATGCATCTTTTTTGCCCTTCGTCGTCGAACGGGCAGCTGCTGAATCTTCCTCGACGTCGGATGGGCCAGTGCTTCCTTCCTGAATAGCATCAAGCACGGCTGACTTCTTTGTACTAGTTGTTTGTTTTTTCGGCGTTCCGGGTGTGGATGTCGGTTCCTGGTCCACTGACATGCGTCGGAGTGCACCACGAGTCACTGCAAAAACAGATATTGTGGTTACCGAACACCTTTGGGAACCGCCATTGCGTCACAACACAACTGCGATGCATGTTTTCACCCTAAACTACTCACCTCTACCAGGCGCTTCCTCTTCCTTACTCATTCTGAATCAGACAATTATTACACTTCACAAAAATTAATTTCGTTGGGTCGAACGTAGAAAATAACCGAAAAACACTATCCTCCAACAAATCCACGTTTTTTCCCTGGGCAAAACGGCACGCAATCTCGCGAAAACAATGCGCTCGTCGGGAAATTTGACAAGAGAGAAGTGTGAGTGCATGTGTGCGTGTGTTCGCTAAAGATTCGCCGCTGGAGCGATTTGAATTTTTTATTTTATTCGCCCGTATATGCGGGCGAGAAGAACCGAGCGAAAATCGAGCGAAGAGTGGAAAAGAAATTGTAGTGTTCTGAAATTTGAATGCTTCGCTTGGAGGTATTAGAGCAACCGTACCAATGAGTAAATAAGGCACATTTACCAACCTCTACCATAACGCTACTTGCGTACCGGAGGTTGCTATTCAGGTGGGGGAATTAGCAATCCGCACCTTGGGAAGTAGTGAGTTCATAAATTTAGCAACCCGGTAGCAACGCATCAGACGATTGCTATTTTGAATAACCGTCAAAAGTTTGTTTTGCCGGTGTGGAAAACGGTAACTTAAATTATGACTCTGATAGCAACGACCGGTGTGGAGAGGAGTGATCAAGCCAAAATGGAAACACTGTGCGTAAGTAAAATAGTGCCGCAAATGGCAACGACTGGTACGGTTGCTCTTAGGGATGAACATAAACATTGAAACCGTTTGAAAATATTCCGAGCTCTATAACTATAACTCTTTGGTAAACTTATTTTAATTTTAGCTAAATTTCTACCACAAATTGTTCAATACCGTATAACTTCCTAATTAACTTGTAAGACACATAACCATTTAAACTTTGTAGAATTTTGCATCAGTCGTTTATGCAGTTTAAGCAATTCTAAACATTTTTTTACGTGATGAAAAGTTAAACCATAGGTAAGTTTTACCACTACCTGAACTAAACATCGTATGATTACGTAAATTGCTTTTGCCGCAATTTAAAACTAATTACTAAAAGGAGCAGTTTTAAGTCAGATATATTAAGCAAATGGGGTAATAAATTGTAGATAAATAAATAAAACCCAACTCAATCTCAATTTTATTCTGTTTGAGTAATTAGATTACTTCTCGATTAATTCATGTTAAACAATATATGATGAATAGTAAAAAAAAATATTGTTTTTCAAATACATGATTTTAATACAACTCGTGTTTTTTTTTCAAAATGCGCAACTTAGCTTTTTGATACTAATTATTTGTATATAAAGTTGTAAAATACCTTACCGAAAATGGATTAAAATTGTACATCATCCCAGTTAAATTTTAACTCAAATGGTTTTGAAAGTCTCCCAGAAATCGCGCTTAAAATTTTATTAAAATTAATCTCCATTGAAATTATTCTCTATGCTCCTTAAGTTTTATCATAAGAATTTACTATGATTTCTCTTCCGGATTGTATTTCCTTTATTGACAAAATCTCCATGCAATTGTCATCAGAGTTGACAAGACAATTGACACCGTCTTCAACCAGAGGTTTGTATGGAAATTACTATGGTAAAACCAAGATTTTTGTTCCTGTCTATTTAATAATTCACCATATCGGTCTGCTTCAAAAGCTTTCAACTGTACTTGTAGGAATTTTTTCCAGCTACAACTTTGCTGAAGAACACTTTTTGATCGGATCGAAAGTTATCAATGGTTTAATGCGCTGATGTCTTATGATCATGCTCAATCAACTGCTCAGCAGGCAACAGTGGTGTTTCTGGGACGTTGAATAGGACACAAAAATCATGGCTACTATGTCACACGGCAAAATACAGTGTTGCCTACAGAGCAGCTGCTTGATCATGTCATAAGTTTATCAATCTCTTAAATAATTAATAATTTTTTCCTTGTGAGACTTCGCCTCACACTTAACTGTGACTTATTTTCAGAATTACCTTAAAATTAAAATAATGCCCAACGTTGATGAACCTTTAAAATTAAAGTAGCAAGTTTGGATTTTTTTATTAGAGGGTAAATCAATTGCAGTGATATTTTTAATGCAACATGTTTAAACAATCTGGGAAAATCTGGAACATATTTAAAAATCAGGAAATATACTGTCTGTGTATCTGGCAAGACGACTAAACATCTAGAAAATCCAGATAAATCTGGAATACCGGCAACGCTGGTTGTGAGTCACTTTTACTAATTCGTATGAAAAATTGTCTTAAAGCGTAGGTTATTCAACGCGCATAAGTAACCTACGATTTAAAAAAAAATCTCCATACGAATCGGTAAAAGAGACTCATTCTCTGAGTAATATACGAAATTGGATATAGGATAGTCAAGCTCAGTGTGCAATTTGCATCAAATTCTATGTTTTAACTTGGCAGCACGGCCAGAAAGCAGGTTTCTGTATTCAGTGAAGTTATTCGGATGGACAATACCTATCGCACGATTGGCCTCTTGGTTCAGCATTCACTCACCATGCAGCGCTAGAGACATTTGATTCAAAAGGCTTGCTTTAAGCAGTCTACAGGGGCAACCCGGTGTAGTGGTTAACATCCATACCTCTCACGCCAAAGTCACGAGTTCAAATCTTATCGGACTAGTCAAGAATGACCCAAGAGTGTTAAAGTGACTATAATAAAAAAGCAGTCTACATTCACTGAAAACTAATCTTATTCAGAGAGTGAGTCAATTTTACGAAGGTTACTCATGCGCTGAGTGACCAATGCTTTTATAAATGTATCCTTATGAATGAGCAAAAATTACTCACTCTCTGAGTTACCCATGTAACAATTCAAGCTGAACAGTAAGAACAGAAGCTGATTATTGGTTGATTTAAGGTGTACAAAGCTGATTAACAGCAGGCTGAATATATAGTTGATTAGTAGTGCGTGAAGCTGATTGTGTCCCCATAATTCAACCTCAATAAGTTAGCTGATCTACAGATTGAACAAGCCTTATTTTAGCTTAACACTACTCCACAAATCAGCAATGCACTACAAATATTTTGATAGCTTGATTTGTTAAATGTAGTCAGTGTCACTTGTTGCATTTCCGGCATTTTACTTCTTCTAAATTCACTGTCTACCTTTCTAATCCCAAGCAGCGGCAGCAGTAGAGACAAGGTAGAGGAGCTTTTTAGGAATAGCTCTAGGTAGAAGTGGGCTGTGACGACTTCGGAAGCATTAACATTTGTATTTTTGTGTTTTGATTGCTATATTGCACTGAATTTTCAGACAGAATTCCAAAAATATAACTCAATTATGCCCACATTGTGTTAACTACACTTGAAAATGAGATGAATGTTTTACTGTCACCAGTTGTTGTTTAAAATACTGCATTGCTGTATAATACTCTTCCGGTTGCTGTTATTCAACTTAAATTTGACGTGTTTCAAGTTAATGATCATACCTTTTGCCACACATATGCTTAAGTGGTCCAGTAGGTATGATTTTATGCCTGTGAATCAGCGACTGCCGGTTCGAATCCCGAAATGCAAAGGTAATTTTTATGCTTCTAATAACAATAGAAATATGTAAATCCAATTAGTTAGTCAGTACCTTGTTGCAGTCCCATGAAAGTATATAAGATATTAAGCGGTCATCAATTATTCAAAACTAGAAGGCTAAACAAGGGCTGGAAAAGGCTGTTATTATTTAATGCCTTAGAAAGCTTATAAAATTTATATAACTATTAAGCTTTTGGCTGATTAAAATCACCAGATCTATATGTTTAAGCTAAAGCTGAACAATGGTTAACGTGGTTTATGTACAACAATTATTCAAACTAAGGCTGAATTAAAATCGATTGAACAACACTTGTTAAGCATCAAATTGTTACCTGGGTAGTTTCGTTTTCTGTGTTTTGACTAGATAGGAGATTGCTATCTCTAGTAATGTTATTCAGATTGATAAGACCTATTGTATACTGGGCACAGGGTGACCAGTGAACCGGGAAATCGAAAAAAGCCGGAAATTATAAATCACTGCACAGATAAAAATTCTGAATTTTAATTGTGATGTTAACATTCATTCACGTAAACTTGTATTTAATTTCACGCAACCGAGCAACTTGTAAACAATGTTGTTTACAAAGATGGGCTTTTGTATACAATATTTGCTACATTGTATGAAATGTATCAGAACTTTACATGATATATAATGTTAACGTATATGATATGTGACGCTCCATTTATGTGCATTATATTGAACAGAAATTTACACTACTTTTTCGAACTGTGCGGGCAAAGTTCGTGAATTAGGATGATGAACCCGGAAAAAATATACTTCGTCCTCTCTTTGGAAAATAATAATCTTTGCAACTACTAGATTTTCTGGATACAATCACTTTGAATAATTTATTCGATAATTTTGATGAAAATTCCAAAGGAATTTAGCGGAAATTTAAGTATGAATTCTAGAGATGAGATACAAATTCCAGTGGAGTTTTTGGAAATATTTTTATAGAGTTTTGACTACAACGCCAAGTCAATTGTTTAAGTTCAAAGGTTCTGTGTGAAATTACATGACGATTGTAAAGAGGATTACAGGTTTATTTCTAACGAATATTCTAAATAAATTCCGAGAAGAACGGACTCTGCTCCAGAACACTACACTGTCCTTCAGTTCTTCTGCACAGTTCGAAAAAGTAGTGTAAATTTTTGTTCAATATAATGCACATAAATGGAGCGTCACATATCATATACGTTAACATTATGTATCATGTAAAGTTCTGATACATTTCATACAATGTAGCAAATATTGTATACAAAAGCCCATCTTTGTAAACAACATTGTTTACAAGTTGCTCGGTTGCGTGAAATTAAATACAAGTTTACGTGAATTCATAATTTTTATCTGTGTGGTTTAAACGTATCGAAATCAATATTTCTAATTCTAATGCTAATTCTGACTACACGGAAAACAAAACATTTTTCAATATTACTAAAAATCTGTGATTCTCGGAAGGAAAAGTGAAAAATCGGTAGTTTTTTACCTTTCGTCTGTGAATCGGTAAGCATCCTGAAAATCGGTAGGACTATAGATAAATCGGTAACCCTGATGGAACAGGAAACTAATCTCGTAGTTCTACGTCAACAATGTGGTCGTGCTTTCGACAGAACCCTCACCAGCGTTGCCAGATTGTTTTAAAGCTTATCACTAAACACTCTTTAT